TGCTGATTTGATAGTAGTAAAAAGTTTGAATTTTGGAAGAAGGGGATATTGCAGCAGACAACAATAAAAGGTAACTTTCTGAAACTTTTAACAGAATGGTAGTGTGGCAATTCAGCGCTAACTCTGTGTCAATTCGGTGCTTTGTGTTACACCTTAACATGTGTTATCTTTGCAGCTTGACAGGCTTGGTGTACACCTGCACTCTATCAGGTTGCTTGGTCATTTATATTTAGCGTTACCACACTGTTCTTGATCCTTCAACTACTAGTGGAGTATTTTCTTCATGTACAGCCAAAGGCCCCAAGTGGAGAGCTACTCATGTACATGAGTCACATGGAGGTAATGTTGTCATATCAATCTAGGTGATCAAATTTACTTAGTGTCTCAATGTCTTCCTTCAGTATGCATGGTGATTGTATTATCAAGGTCTTACTAGGTACAGATCCTACACGTTTTTCTACATGACCATGGTGTGATTGTATTATCAAGGTTTCCTTGGTTGCTCCCACCAAAATCATATCTAGGGCATAATTAGTATACTGCCATCCTGAATCAATCATATTTTTCTACATGACCATAGTGTGATAGTTTCCCTCTGTTAGGTTACCGAAATTCTCCTTTCTGTCAGTCGTCTACCGTTTCCCCTGTTGTTGGTGACTATGCTAACATATGTTGGCTGCCAATCTTTGTTTCACTGATTGATTGCTTGATGGTGCTGATTTTGAGAAGATTGTTATAGTTCCATTTTCATCGTATTTGCTTCGCATATAGTGCAGCCATCTCTGTTCAAGATGTTTTGGATGTTGTTCGCCTCATAATGTGGGATCTCACCGTGTCCTGTTTCAGGCACTTCATTTTTGTCTTCCTTTCCGTGATCTATTGCTGGAGCACTATGCAAACAATAAAAACATTGGAGATCTTGAACAGAGCACGCTAACCTGCCTGGCTGATTTGTTTTCTCAGGTACTACTACAACTATTGGTTCTGATTGTTATTCCTGTTCTCAACTTCTTGGATACCCTGCAATGTGTAGCGACCAATAATAGAACATGTTGATCTAGATTTTACCTCGCCCCATTATGCTTATCTGTCTAAGAAAAGGAATTGCAGTACAGATAAAGTAGAAAGAAAAATACAAAAGCCGAGCTGCAGCGATGTGTTTGTGAATTTATGGTTACTGATCTTTTTCCTATAATTCTGCATTTCTAATCACTTTTAACTCAATAGTCTTGCTGATTGAAACATAGAGGTGGGACTTACTTTGAGCACCTCTCAAATCTGGATAGCGTCATCAAATTTCTGGTCTTCACACTCTGTAAAGGCTTAACAATGTGTATGTGACATACATTACGATGTTGCTTTGTGCCGGACCCCTCTTAGTCTTCTTTTCGATTGACCAATTTTTTTAATTCTTGCTTCAAATAATAGTGTATATGACATGCCATTTCGAGCCAAACATTTATATCATATCTATTTTGCATTGCAGCTGAGGTCTCTTCTGACATGGTATAACTGAGATATATTACTGCGGTATGCCAGACCCCTCCTGCTCTTCGATTCCATTAACACTTGGAAGAGTGTTGCATATGACATGCTGTTTCAACCAAACAATTCATATGATATTGGCTTCGCATAGTAGTTCATCATATGTCACATATTCCCTATATATTGCAAATATTTATAATGAATCCCTAACGCTTATGTCGAAGCTCATCATAAAGGAATACTTTGCTCGAATCCTCATATGGAATTGTCCAAATTTGCCACTTCGCCCCGTTTGGCTTATCTTATAATCCGCACTATTCAGATTGTTTTTTCAGCCGAAACAGTGTTTTTCTCTCACAACAATTCAGTCAGAACAATGTTTTTTCACCAATTCAGCCAAATTTCAGCAAGCCGGACGGGAGCCTTCGTGGTTTCAGCCTTCCTTTAAGATTAAAATAGTGCCATACTGGGATCAATTTATTTTAGCACCTATTTGAGGTGTAGCCTTTCTTCTTCATGTAGTTATAATAGGTAGTTAACCTAAAGTCTTCATATATGTACAACAAAATCATGTATTCAACCAATCACTACCTTTGGTTGACCCGCGCCAATGCGTGGGGTATTGTCCAACTTTGATTTTTGGATTAAATGTCATTTTAACGTCGGCATTTAATTTCACAGTATTGTTATCTTATCATGCGATCCTTGTGTTTTAGTACAAATGTTTAGCTATCCCATAGCAACGCACGAACGTGAACCTAATTTAATAGAGAAGCGCGTGTCTGTTGGACCGGTCCGTTGCACGGGCCTAGAAAGCCATCGCTTGGACAGCGAGACGCCCTGCAGCGAGCATTTTGTTTTTAAGAGAGAAAAGCTATCACTATCTATGTCGCGTTAGCTTGATGCGGTGCAAGTGCAACGCAACATTGTTCCGACGTGTCACCGTCGCTCCTGTTTGTTTAGGCTGGTTTGGCTTATAAGTCATGGCTGAAAGTATTATTAGCTGGTTTGGTGTGAGAGAAAAATATTATTCGTTGGCTGATAAATCATGACTTATAAACTAGATACGATCAAGCGAACAACCTTGCGTGTCGTGGATGGACCTGGACCTGGACGTCCTGCCACTGCCTGCCCTGTAGGCTGGGCTGTCTTGCAGGCCCATATAGCAGAGGAGTTCCGTTGAAGTTGAAAGCAGGGTGTTTGCTTTAGATTAAAACCGCAGCCAATGTGGTTTTTAAGTTCAATCTATAGTTCAACCTCCAACCTAACGAGAACCGACTATGATTTCACAATCCCGCCAAAAAAAAAAATCGATCTAAACGAATAGGCTTCTGGAGATTCTACTGCATATTCTAGCAATCCAAGGCCATGATTCAGTTATCTCCTCTCTATGAGCTTTTAGGTGGATTCTAGCGCGGTGAAAGACAATTTAGCCCCTGCTCGAAGGAAAAAGTTAAAGAACTGAAGGGCATTTTAGACATTTGGCTTCTGAAATGAATCCACCATTCAGAGTAAAAACTAGATGTTGAATATGCTGGGAGCCGTTTGGCGGTACTCCTCGGAGCAAATTCTCGGTGAGAATCAGCCAAATAACAAGATCCTAACAATTAGAGAGCGGACCTCTAGCAGACATGCACTTGGATTATTACCATCCGGATTCTAGATTTCTCATAGTTATTTGATGGTCTAAAATGGACTACCCCAATTAATTAATCATGTGATTTGGAGGACAAAGTGACATCAAAACGTACGTCAGAGTGGAGAGGAGGACATGTGGACCATTATCCTTCCATCATCAATCTACTCTCATCTTCCAGCGTCCAATCGTACGTACGGATCGTTTTCCTTTCATTTGATCTCCTTTTATATACATGTACTATGATTGCTGATTATGATCTTGTTAAATAGAGACAAGGACAATATATATGTAGTATGAGGGTTATACTCACTCCGTGCACAAAAGAATGCAATTCTCGATTTTTGAGAAGTCAAATAGTTTGAACTTTGACTAAATTTATGTAAAAACATTCTAACATTTATAATACAAAATAAATACCATTAGATTAGTTATATAATATATTTTCATAAAAAAATTATTTAAAAATATAAATATTAATACTATTTACTGTAAACTTGGTCAAAGTTAAGTCAATTTGATTGTATTCTTTTGTGGATGGAGGGAGTAGATGTTATTGTTGGGCTCCATTGTTTCGCTTTATATGTTACTTTTGTGCACATTTTCAGAGCCTCTTTGGCAGGGATTTTCATGTGGCTTCTCCACCGGCTTTGCCCGGTTCGCTTGGCTGATAAGCCATGGCTGAAGCATACTGTTGGCTGATTTATCGTGAGAGAAAAATATTGTTCGTTGATCGAAAAGTACGGTTTATAAGCCAAACGAACAGGGCGTTAATTAGAAGTTGTACCAAATGAACAGTCTGAAGAAAAAAAAAAGGTTAGGGACGGTGAAGCCGAAGCTATTTTGGAGGTGGAAGCTCAAGCCATGAAAACATAATTTCTCCTTATTTGTCTCTTTTTATAAACAAGTCTAAGCTCTACCAAAGAGGGTTTTATAGTGCTTATTAAAACAGCTCCAGTCCAATACAGTCCTTGGGAAACCGCCAAGCAGACAGATACGTCTGACGTCCCTAAAGAAGAGAAGAAAAGCAAATGCGTAGCGCAGGTTACACGTTAATCGCCGCAGTGGTAGAGAGAGCAGAGCTAGCGTGTTTTACTCCGCAGCCGGACCAGAAGTCTCGCCGGGAACACCGCATGCACCGGCGTTAAATGTCTGTAAAAAAAAATAACTCCAATCCGTCGTTTAGGTGGAAATCACGAGAGGTGAATCTTTTGAACTTACGCCAACGCCATTGCCAATATTTACCAAATAAGCGAAAGTCTTCTTATTCATCGGGTTGAATTTCACAATCTAATCGTGCATCGCAAACATCCGAGGCTAAAAGCAGGCAGCTAGCGCCGCAGGCCGCAGTGGTAGAGAGAGCAGAGCTAGCGTGTGAGGGCCGCAGCCGGACCAGAAGTCTCGCCGGGAACACCGCATGCACCGGCGTCGCTGTCTGTCTCTGTCTCCTCCGTCTCCAATCCGTCGTTCATAGGTGGAGTGGCGTGAGGCGACCCAGCACGCACGCCAACGCCATTGCCGTTGCAGTCGCGGAACCGTACGAATTTCACAGGAATCGTGCAGGCAATTTCACGTGAATCAGTCAGAAACGTGGAAATTTTCCCGCTTTCCAGACAGGCCCGCAGTCTACATCTGCTACTGCAGTGCAGCCAAACCAGGGATTGGCGACGGCACGCCACGCGCACACCACACGCACTTTGGCCATCGTCGTCTCCGATCATCGCCTTGGATCGAATTCGATTGCACTCTGCCACTCTTGTTCTTTGCTCACCTCCTGCGTCCTTCTAGAAGACCACGCGCGCGCGCGTGCGGTTTTTCCAACCTCACCACCGTCCCTTCTTCTGGCCTACCTCCCCAAAATCCGACGCTACATTAACATATGGCAGCAGGTCAGTGACAGTCGGCTGCAGAGCAGAGGAACTCTCCCCTCACTCCACTGCTTCACTCTTCACTCTGCTAGCTGCCCTGCCTGGCTGCCGCCGATGGACGCGAGCCAGGGCAGCAGCAGCAGCGCCAACATCTTCCCGATGCCACAGACCCCCCGCTGCTCTTCGCCCCGCCACCGGCGGCGGCATTGCCATCTTCTTCCCTCTCTCTTTCCTCCTATTCCTCCTCCTCTTCCTTGCGGCCGTCCATCACCAGCTTCCCCATCCTCGTGCTCACGGTGCTGGGCATCCTCGCCGCCTCCGTCCTCCTCCTCGCCTACTACGTCTTCGTCATCCGCTGCTGCCTCACCTGGCACCGCGGCTCCTCCGACGTCGCCGGCCTCATCGTCTCCCGCCGCGGACTCCGCCCCCAACGCACCGGCACCACAACCTCCGGCAGCACCGCGCCCGCCGACGCCGACGCCGACGCCGAGCCGCGCGGTCTCGAGGATGCCGCCATCCGGGCGCTGCCGGCGTTCAGCTACAGGAAGAAGCCCGACAAGACCGCGGCGGCCGCCGATGAGTCATCCGCCCAGGCGAGCGAGTGCGCGGTGTGCCTTGGCGAGTTCGAGGAGGGCGACAGGGTCAGGATGCTGCCCGCCTGCCTCCACGTCTTCCACCTCGGCTGCGTCGACGCCTGGCTCCAGGGCAACGCCAGCTGCCCGCTCTGCAGGGCCAGTGCGGACGTCGCCGCCACCCTCTGCCGCCTGCCCCCGCTGCCGCCCGAGGAGGAGGTGGTGGTGGCCATCCAGGTCGTCGTCCCCGGCGCCGAGGAAGACCAAGACGCGCTGCCACGGTACCGAGAGGCCACCGTGGCACCTGCTGCCGAGGTCGAAGGAGAAGGTACTGGTGAGAAGACGAAGAGCACCATCAATGTTCTTCCACCGAGGACGTCCTTCTCCATGGACGGAGACGCAATGGCTGCTGGTGGGGAGGTTCACCTGCAGATTCAGAACATCTTGCAGAGGGACAGCCGTACACATGATGATCATGACAGCGACAGCAGCGGCGGCGGTCGAGTGTAGTGTAATGTAGGCAATTGGATCAGCATTCTTCTTTTCTTTGCTGAAAAACGTGATTTTAGTTTCAAGCGGGCGTCGTGTATGGAAGACTTTTCTTCTTTAATCTCTTCTTTCCACCTTTTACTATAGCAATATATACGCAAGATATTGGTCCCATCCCTGTTGATAGAGAGAATGAGTCATATATTTTTTTTCCCAAAGGTGAAGTATTTTCATTACTTACATAGTACAGGAATGGGGCAAAATATTCCTCATTGAAAGTTTTGAACACATTGCAAAGTTTTGAGCACATTACAAGAAGAAGAAGAAGAAGAAGAATACATAGTCGCTTGACAGAAGGATAGACAAGAGCTTGGAAATTGGAATACTAGCTTGTCTAGCCTGTTTTGGATCAGCATTCTTCTTTTCTTTGCTGAAAAACGTGATTTTAGTTTCAAGCGGGCGTCGTGTATGGAAGACTTTTCTTCTTTAATCTCTTCTTTCCACCTTTTACTATAGCAATATATACGCAAGATATTGGTCCCATCCCTGTTGATAGAGAGAATGAGTCATATATTTTTTTTCCCAAAGGTGAAGTATTTTCATTACTTACATAGTACAGGAATGGGGCAAAATATTCCTCATTGAAAGTTTTGAACACATTGCAAAGTTTTGAGCACATTACAAGAAGAAGAAGAAGAAGAAGACATAGTCGCTTGACAGAAGGATAGACAAGAGCTTGGAAATTGGAATACTAGCTTGTCTAGCCTGTTTCACAAGCTTATCTGGACATCCTAAAAGAACAACCTGCTCTTAATATGCTAATGAAAGTTTATATCAATTTTTATTTATAAACGAATTTAAATTTCAAACTCAAAACTAAAATATTATAGATCTTCTCGAGAGCTAAAATTTTCATATGCATTTCAGTATGAAAAAATATGTTTTTTTTCTAAGGTAACAAACCCCTAATGTTCAATATATTAATGCAAGTTTGTATCAGATTTTTAAGCATATCAACGTCTGCAAATGAATAAAACTCAAAAGAACTACAAAACTGTAGATCTCATTGAGTGCTACAATTTTCAAATAAAAATCAACTTTTAACTTCTGCATGTTTCTAAAACAATTTGATAGAGTATTTCTCAAATAATACGATATAGAGTGGTACACTGCTGTTATTCGTGATTTGCCCATGTAATCTGATTGCAACTCCCAACCAACACGTCTGACGTGTCTAACGCAAGCTCCATGCTTTTGTAGGCACACTAGCACAATCCAGTGTGGCGCTGCCTTGCGGTGCCTGTTATTCTAAGTACTGACCAAAACCCCATAACTAAATGTCTCACCAAATTCTCTATTTCATAAAAAACAGGGCACGCGGACATTTCTGTCTTGAATACACATCATAGCTTGACGGATCAGGTCTTTCCTTGCTGCAGGGAGCTGGCAGTTCACCAGCCATTGATTTTCAGATATCCAAAATATCTGTAATACTACATATAACAACTAACAAGAAAACCCAAATCCTTTAGCCAATATTTGCAGAGGCTACCGTTGCACAGCTTTGGCAGTATCAGAATCTGTTTCCTGCTCCTGAGGTTCAGGCAATGCGTTTGCTGAACCTTCAGGTGATAGGCATGCGAGAGCCTTTGCCTTGATCTGGTTGTAGAGTCGCATAGCTTCCTTGAGCTCATCCCTAGCGTCAGCTCCATGATTTCGCCATGAATCCACCACTCTCTTTTGGAACTCCATAGCCAGGGGATAACTGCAGGTGCAGAAACATGAGGAGGTCATACTTATCAGTTCGAAGTTGGAATACAAAGCAGCTTCTATTCCTAAAGTAAAAACAGAACTTAACATCTTATGCCCAGTGGTGGAGCTTGATCTTAAATCCCGGTTGGGGGGTTACTGCACCCCAGCTTACAGCTGTTTTTTTTTTAAGTAGTAGAGTTGGTTATTTTGAAGGTTGCTTAGGCATGCCACATGTTGGCCTGAACACAGCTCCTCCCCTGCTTACAGCATGTCTGAACTATCTCCACTATGTGCTTAGAAAATTAACATCAATCAGCCAGTCAGCCCCACTATGCTGCCTAACAAGTTTGTGTATAAAAGACAATAAGGCACTAATATCGACCTTATAATCCCAGCGTCTAACATCCAACAGTATATGCTAACCCATCCAAACTATCTTAAGAACAAGTATGCACAATAGCATGTGAATTATCTTAGCATCTCTTTTTTTTGTCTGGTTATGTTTGAGTTGAAGCTAACAAAAAACACACTCAAGATAGATTCGAGAGGGAAGGAAAGAAAACTCATTGTAATGCATTTGTGAAACTATACCTTCCCATAGCATCGTAGGCCTTAGCAAGGCTCTGACAAGCCTCGATGGTATCTGAATGGTGAGGTCCTAAGGAGACATCCATGACTTCTTTAGCGAGCGCAAACATCTGAGCAGCGGACTGTGGTCGGTCCATCTCCATGTAAGCAGCACCCAAGTTGTTATATACATATCCTACTCCGTAATGCTTCGGACCAAAGCTGTCCTTCATCCTCTCCACTGCATCCTCCAAGTATGGGACAGCTTCAGTGACCTTACCGGTCAAGAGCAAAAGCCACCCAATCCTCGCTGCGACATTGCCCTCCAAATGCTGTGCCTGAGGGATCCTCTCAAGCATTCCCAGGCTCCTCTTCAGTAAAGATATTGCCTTTTCAAACTCATTCACCATCTCATACAGTGAGGATACCTCTATATACATCTCTGCCACTTTGCCAGCTGTGGCAAATTCCTTCTTCTCCAGGATGTCACAAGCAATCTCCAAGGACCTCTTTGTGTCCCCAACCTTCTCCTGGTTAGCGAGCGCCTTCGCCATTGATATGAATACTAGAGCTCGCATCTCGCTATCCTTGTCCACCTGCTTAGCGACATTCTTCAACACACTGACAGCCTCATCGAACTTGCCCAATGCGATCTTGATGTTTGCTGCGTCAATCTCAGCGTGCAGGAGGTCAGGGGAAGCCGCACCCCAGCTCTTCATTACCTTCTGCGAAATCTCATTCTGCTCCAGCGCCTGCCCATGCTGCTCCAACCCAGTGTATATCACTCCAAGCAGGCGCCTGTCGTGCGCAACCTCCACGGAGTTCTTGCCGAGCGTCGACTCATGCAGATCAAGCGCCTTCTGGCAGAACGGCAGAGCCTGCTTGAAGTCAAGCAGGGTGGCGTACGCCTCCGCGAGGTCCCGGTACGCGACTCCCAGCTCCCGGCTGCCCGGCGGCAGAATGGACTCCTTAAGGTCGAGGCAGGTGCGCATGTCGGCGAGCGCCTCCTCCCGCCTCCCCAGCGCCGTCTTCACGTTGGCCAGCTGCAGCCGCACGGCGTGCGCCACGGGCCTCACGTCGAACCCTCCCGGTTCCTCTCCAGCCCCGAACGCGACGCCTCCGTCGGGGAGGAGCGGAGCGAGGAGGCGTATCGCGCGGGAGAGGAAGGAGAGCGCGTCGTGGAAGCGGGAGAGGTCGAAGGAGGCGGAACCCGCGAGGTGTAGTGCCATGGCGAGCGAGACGGCGTCTGAGGCGGAGGCGGAGGCGGGGGTGGCGGCGTTGGGGCTGGCCTCGAGGATGCCCAGGCATCGGAGCGCGAGCGCGAGGACGCGGGACGCGTCGGCGGAGCCGGACGCCTCGAGGTTCTGGCCGAGCTTGAGGCAGGCGAGGGCGAGGCGCTTGTCGTTGGCGGGCACGGCGGCCTCGAGGCGGGAGAAGGCCGAGAGCATGTCGTTCGTTGACCTCGCCGCCTCGAACGCCTCCTCCGCGATAGCGGCGGCGGCGGCGGCAGTGGCGGGGACGGGAGGCGGCGTAAGCGGCCGCGGCGAGAAGTGGTGGCGGGGCGGCGCGAGGAGAGGGTTTATTAGAGCTTTGCGCGCGGGGGACGTGACCGGCCCCCGCAGGCGGGTCCTGAGGAGAACGGAGGCGGCGCGGCGTAGCGCCATGGTGGGCGAGGGAGCGGTTGCTAGCTCGCGGCGGCGGCGGCCGGCGGTGAGGGCGAAGAGGGAGGAATCTGGGCGATGGGCTGGGCTTTCTCTTCTTAGCAGTAAGTAGCTGAGCTCATTAGATACTGTCTGGGCCGTACGCTGGGCTGGGCTGAGAAACATGTGCCACCTACCGAGGGCATATGGACCACCGAAAACTGAAGAATTAGGCCTGTTTTGGTTTTGCAATCTCTTTTACACGACCCGTCGCGCTCGGAGCCGAGCGCGCGAGCACACGACCCAAAGCCCATTACCGGCGGTAGGGTTTGGGGACCTCACCGGCGTTAGGGTTTGGGTTTGGGGATCTGCTCACCGGTGGCCTTATATTAGAGGTTTGGGGGGGGGGGGGCCGTGACATGGCGGTGGAGTGGGTGAGACGGGGGCGGCGGGAGACGATGGTTGGGCGGGGTTGGCGATGAGGGCGCCACGGTGGAGCTTGTCGGCAAGCTGCCCTGTGTTTAGGAGAGGGCGGGTCGATGGGTGGGTGGCGGGAGGTGGGTGGCACAATGAAGTGGCGGGAGTTGCTGGCCACCGGTTGTGGAAGCCGGGGGCAGCGGCGAGGGCGAGGACGATGCCTGTGATTAGGGAGGGCGGGGTTGATGTGCAGGGACGGAAGGTGGGTGGCGCGGTAAGACGGTGGGAGCTTGCCTGCCATGTGTACCCATTGACTTGGTCTCTGTCTCGAGCCACGTACACACATTATTCCATACTAATAGACATGCACGTGCGACACGCACGTGTCTATCAAAATAATCTTTATATCAAACAATAATAATGACAATGAAACTTTGGAGAAGTCAACATATATCATATAAAAAATATAATTGTCAAAATCGTTATTCTTTTTTGAGTCATGTTTATAATTCTATTTTTCCTATTCGTCTTTCTCCAAACAATTATCACGGAAACATAGTAGTGAGACAAGGGTGTTTTTGACACGACTTCACGTCCGAAGGCTTCTATGCCGGAGCAGCGAATCATGGCTTCTTGTACGTACGT